CAATTATTTATTTAATAATAATAGTAAACAATAATATATTTTATATAATTCCTATAATTCCCACGTTCCTACGGATGGATAGGTATAAGTGTTCTAAGATAATAATTTTATATATATATATACACACACACACAAAATGTTTATTTTTTAATAGTATAGTAATTATTATATATTTTATGTAAATCCTGCAATCCTACAGGGGATAAGCATTTTGAAGAATGGAGGATTTAATGTAATTGTTCTCTCTCTCTCTCTCCCTCTTTTCTCTTTCTCTGTGTCTGTGTGTGTATATGTGTGTGTGCAAATATAGATATACATTTAAGTTCTCTACCAGCCAGACAATTTTTGCATAATTTACAGTGCATCTCATGTCTATTTGCACACTTAAACTGACTTGAATCATTCTGATAGGATGTGAGCAGTCTCTGTACTCGTGGTGCTGGATTTGTTTTATCTTTAATGGGCCGTTAGACAATACCTCAGCTAAGCGTATTAACACCGTGGCAGTTGCTCGGGGATTTGAGCATGTTGGAAATGAAGCATAGACACGCTCGCTCTTTCTTGCAGTGCGTATCTCCCATTCACTGGGCAAAAGGAACATTGTTCCCAATTCCCATACAACAGCCATAAATCTCTTAAGAAGAGAAAAAGCAAGCTTTTCTTCAAGCAGTGCTAAATGAGTCCCTAGCAAGTTCAGTACTTGTTTTTCTTCTCTCTTATATCATTCCCTGTCCCATTTTAGCCCTCCATCCGTTCCCGTCACAGTTCCAGTGTTCATCAAAGGATCCCGAAGGACATGCATTGTTTCCATTGTGAATGAATGATTAGTTGTTTTATGTGTCCGTGGAGATGCACTCGCTGCTTGTTCAGCCTTTGTGTTTGCAGAGATTTTAATTTCAAGGTGCCTCACAAAAGTTTGAGCAGTTTTGCATTGGTGCCGTTCCAAAGTCAAACAATTTGATTTGATTTTACTGTAGGCTCAGGTGTACCGCGGTATTCTGAGAAAAAACTGTCTTGACACACATAATCAGTCTCAGTAGAAAGCATGGTAGCTCCCAAACGATACCAGAGATCTGAATTGATTTGGATCTGAGGAGAAGAGGAGAATGCCTAGCTCTGTATCAGATATTGCAGAACTGATTGTAACACAATTTTTGGATTGCTAAAATCGCTCTAGACGGTATACAGCCAATTTAATCTATGTATTTGAGAGAAGTATGCGTTTTTGTGATGCGCAGCATGAGCTATCTAATCAATAATACTGTTAGCACTTTCTTCAGGCTCAGGCTTTTGAAGTGAAATATCAATCCATACAGACCCTGAAAAAAATGTGTGCATATTGCATGAAATGAATTCATTCTGAAAGTGCTTGTTTTTCAGCAAGGCGAGGGATTAAAGTATGAGGGCTATTGATTTAGGACTTGGTCCAACAAAATGTGCATTAGTGATTCAAAGCAAATGTTGAATATTGGAGACTTTGCTTGTCTGAGTTCTTTTGCCTCATGCCATCAAACAGTGCTCACCTAACGTTAATGTGAATAAATTACACATTAATTTAAGCCAAAATTAATTGTCTTACAAAAATATTTTTTTCCATTTTTGTAAATGGAAAATTTAAATAGAAATATTTTTCTATAAAATAATAATTATTTATATATTTGTTTTATTTTAAAATGACTAATATGTATATGTATATGTATATGTATATATGTATATGTATATGTACAGTGGGTACGGAAAGTATTCAGACCCCCTTCAATTTTTCACTCTGTTATATTGCAGCCATTTGCTACAATCATTTAAGTTAATTTTTTTTCCTCATTAATGTACACACAGCACCCCATATTGACAGAAAAACACAGAATTGTTGACATTTTTGCAGATTTATTAAAAAAGAAAAACTGAAATATCACATGGTCCTAAGTATTCAGACCCTTTGCTGAGTATTTAGTAGAAGCACCCTTTTGATCTAATACAGCCATGAGTCTTTTTGGGAAAGATGCAACAAGTTTTTCACACCTGGATTTGGGGATCCTCTGCCATTCCTCCTCGCAGATCCTCTCCAGTTCTGTCAGGTTGGATGGTAAACGTTGGTGGACAGCCATTTTTAGGTCTCTCCAGAGATGCTCAATTGGGTTTAAGTCAGGGCTCTGGCTGGGCCATTCAAGAACAGTCACAGAGTTGTTGTGAAGCCACTCCTTCGTTATTTTAGCTGTGTGCTTAGGGTCATTGTCTTGTTGGAAGGTAAACCTTCGGCCCAGTCTGAGGTCCTGAGCACTCTGGAGAAGGTTTTCGTCCAGGATATCCCTGTACTTGGCCGCATTCATCTTTCCCTCGATTGCAACCAGTCGTCCTGTCCCTGCAGCTGAAAAACACCCCCACAGCATGATGCTGCCACCACCATGCTTCACTGTTGGGACAGTATTGGACAGGTGATGAGCAGTGCCTGGATTTCTCCACACATACCGCTTAGAATTAACGCCAAAAAGTTCTATCTTGGTCTCATCAAACCAGAGAATCTTATTTCTCACCATCTTAGAGTCCTTCAGGTGTTTTTTAGCAAACCTCCTCAGTGCAAGACACATGAAAGACCGCAT